GGTCGGATTCGGCCGAACGTATCTCCAAGGGCGGCCAAATGTGCAGCCGTTCGGGTTCGGGCTTCGGCTCGAACCGAACGCCACCCTGATCCCAATAATATTTYGGAGGAGAATTATGTTCGTTTTTACTACTCTGTTAYGATCCTGCCCAATTCCGACGTGCAAACATACAAGGTAACAAGGAAATACAATGTCGTCCAACTTGAATTGCAAAAAGAAATGAACAAACTTGAGAGGAGAGAGAGACCAAAGAAGAAGAAGATGTACTCATGTACACGAGCAAAAGACCAATGATAATTCCCCCTTCTCTCGCCAAGCAACTCCTCCTCCTTATCTCCCCTTCTCTTATTCAAACAACAACAAATAATAATAACGATGAAACCAGAAGCAATGTCTGAATCCCTCTTCTACTGCTAGCACAATGTGAGGTCCACCATAGCCATGAATCCCATCTTGCTATGGCAGACATCAGGGACCAACCCCTGCTCAAGGGCCTGATGTGCAAAAGACAATGCAAAAGCAGATATGTACACTGCTCCTCAGGCGGCCATGCCTGACTCCACCTCGAAGCCTGGTTGTAGCAGGGCACTAGCAGCAGCACCAACCAAGAAGATGAAGATGCCGACCTCCATAGCCAGATAAGTACCTCGCCACTCTCCTTTACCCCCTTCTTCCTCCTCCTTCTACCGGCGATGCTCCACCACAGCCAAGGTGAGAGCTCCCGGTCTTCTTCAAGTTCCTGCTCCTAGCGCTGTAACACCCGGCGCTCCTTCACCCAGCGGCACTCTGAGAACCAGCGCCCGCTCAAGCAGCATGATGCCCAAACATGCACACCGCAAATGAGGTAGAGCCCAATGCTTTACCTGGAGATATAGTGGCCAACCAGTCCCTTGGGCGGTGACTTCCAGGCCGCGCGGCCTCCAAGCAACCGGTACCTCCTCCCTTCCGAAGAGAAACATCATTGCCGGCTCTGATATCGACCGTGCAGGCCCTAGAGTCAGGCTACTTGGACTGGTACCCGCATAGACCTAGGCCTACCGCTACTGGGCCTCTAAAAGTACTAACTTTTTGTCGTCGTCTGCTTGGTGTACTGCTACTCAAGTGCTACTGGTACCGACACTATGCTTGGATTCCTTTCTCGGCCTTTTGGCTAAGATCAAGTGTAGTATCTGTTCTGATCTCGCATTTGGCCACGTGAGTGGTTTTCCCCGATGCAACCCTCAAAGTCACGGCCACAAGTAAGTACCGCGTCGAGGGCCTCCCAAACAAACAAATGCCGTGGCAGGCCACACACACACTCAGGCCAACAAGCACCAGTAAGTACTGCGTTGAGGGCCTCCCAAGCAAACAAATGCCATGGCGGGCCACACACACACTCAGGCCAACAAGCACTCAGACGGGCACACGGACCAGCAAGCACGCACACACACAGACTTAGAAAAGTCACCAAGGTGTACCAAGGTGTACATTCCAACGGCAAAACTCCGAAATCAGCTGTGTTCTCAGTCCGTGTTTTTGCAGCTCCTTACAAGTTAGTCCATTGTAAAAGATGTCAGTGGTGATAAGCCCCTTCCCTGAACACACTTCATTGAAGAAGGAGATGTGTACTTCAACGCGGTGCTGTACATCTCCTTATTACTTCAACGCAGAAGGGAGGGGTTGTTTACCTGATAACTGAGGACCCGGTGTGTTCACCTAATCACTGAGGGGTCACCCGCGTGTTCACCTGATCACTGAGGGGTGTGCTCACGGCACCTGCTCTATGCCTGGAAAATGTTGGGTGTGTGTGTGGGTGAGAGGAAGAGAGTGCTTCTCTCTCTCTCTCTCTCTCTCTCTCTCTCTCTCTCTCTCTCTCTCTCACACACACACACACACACACACACACACACA